GATTCAAACCAGGAACCCCCTCACAGAGAGACTCATGAAGGACGGGGATTCAAACCAGGAACCTCCTCACAGAGAGACTCCTGAAGGACAAGGATTCAAACCAGGAACCTCCTCACAGAGAGACTCCTGAAGGACGGGGATTCAAACCAGGAACCTCCTCACAGGCTTCATCTGAGCTCGACAGTTTAAACCTTTTTACCTACAAACCAGACTGTGTTTTAAACACCGATGTGACTCAGCCTCCTGATTGGACGGTTCCTCAGTTCCTCAGAAATAAGAAAGAAACTCTGAAACGTCTGATGTGTGGTTTGATGGAGCAGCTGTCTTTGAGTTCTTTCACCTCCTACTGACCGTCTGTCCTCAGACATCTTCAGCTGATCAGACCTCCATCATGTCCACGCACGCACGCACGCCCGCACGCACGCACGCACGCACGCACGCCCGCACGCACGCACACACACACACACACACGCACAGGAAGTCTGCTCACATGCTGTTTGTTAAATATTTGAGTCACACTGACAGCAGAGGAATATTTAGAAACACGGAGATAACAAGACGATTTGTCCTCCTCGGGGTTTGGATGCCTTGGAGGACTCTGGAGCAGAGCGGAGCGGCGCTGCTGGCACGCTCTGGAGACGGCCTCCGAGGGGCGTGCTGTGGAAACACAATCACTGACTAGAGTGGCTGTGAACGGCGCTGTAATGCGCGGTGGTTAAAAACCTACAGATGACTGGAAGCTGATGTGAGAAAGAGAGAGAGAGAGAGAACCAACTTAGAGAATCAGAAGTATTGACAGAGGAGCCGGTTTCAGATTTAACATGAAGCTTTTGGTCATCATGATACAGGATATTTTAATTTCTTTGATTCAATTCTAGTGAAAACAAAACAAAATAGATACGTGTTTGTTATCAGGGTTAGGTCACCAAGTATCGTCTCATTTCTTGTTTTTAATCATCAAAGAATGTATAAAAAACTCTGCACGCCGTCCTGCACGTTGTTTTCAAGGGGAAAAGGAGAAATAATCCAACATTGGCTGTGTAGGACTTCTATTCTTGTTGCCATGGTTTCAAACAGGTATCGATATTGTTTGTTTATTAATTAAATAATATTGAACTTTGCAGTACCCTGACAGCCTGTAGGGACTTGGTGGTGTCAGGTTTCACAGTGTCAGTGCTTAAGGTGCTGCTGGTTATCTGCAGGGCTGTATCCCTACATACTGTAGTACCTACTCAATCTGTCAGTATGCAGTATGTACTATCTGTGCTGCATACTGTTAGTACCTACTATTCAGTATGCAGTACCTACTATCCGTGCTGTATACTGTTAGTACCTACTATTCAGTATGCAGTACCTACTATCCGTGCTGCATACTGTTAGTACCTACTCTTCAGTATGCAGTACCTACTATCCGTGCTGCATACTGTTAGTACCTACTCTTCAGTATGCAGTACCTACTATCTGTGCTGCATACTGTTAGTACCTACTCTTCAGTATGCAGTACCTACTATCCGTGCTGCATACTGTTAGTACCTACTCTTCAGTATGCACACACAGTAGGCAGATATTTGTTCCTACTTCTTCTGATTCATTCAGTGAGGAAGTGACGTCATTTATGTTTCCTGAACCGGCCGCATCCACCAGTTTTTTTTTGTTTTTTTTGTTTTTTTTTATTCAAGAAGAGTAATGCTCATATACAGTCAGGTAAACAAAAAACAATATCACAATGTAAATCAAGTAAAAGATTAAATAACTTAATAACATACAGTACATAAAGAACAAATGAAAGACAGTAATATACAGAATATAAAATAAACCAATAAAGACACATTTAAATAGTGACATCATTATTTAAATAGTTAAATCATTATTTAAATAGAGAAATCATTATTTAAATAGAGAAATCATTATTTAAATAGTGAACTCATTATTTAAATAGTGACATCATTATTTAAATAGTGACATCATTATTTAAATAATGAAATCATTATTTAAATAGAGGGAGAAAGGTTTTATAATAATGCAGACTTTTGTTTTATTTTCTGTTGTTAATTTAAAGTAGTGATTTCAGTCGGGACTTTAACTGTAGATTAAAAATTGATTCAATTAATCCACGCTCATTTGTTTTGATTTGGAGGCGGACGTGAAGTGAAGATTTACGTTTAATTGTGCACAGCATTGTGGGTAAAACACAATTCATTTCCTGAAAGCACGCATCTGATCCATACTGCATGAAACCAGGAAGTTAGTATCCATACTGAAATGTTCAGTATCTGTGTGTGTGTGTGTGTGTGTGTGTGTGTGTGTGTGTGTGTGTGTGTGTGTGTGTGTGTGTGTCTGTGTGTGTGTGTGTGTGTGTGTGTGTGTGTGTGTGTGTGTGTGTGTTGTGTGTCTGTGTGTGTGTGTGTGTGTCTGTGTGTGTGTGTGTGTGTGTGTGTGTGTGTGTGTGTGTGTGTGTGTGTGTGTGTGTCTGTGTGTCTGTGTGTGTGTGTGTGTGTGTGTGTGTGTGTGTGTGTGTGTGTGTGTGTGTGTGTGTGTGTGTGTGTGTGTGTGTGTGTGTGTTTCGGCCTGTGTGAGATGATGAGCACACAGTTTGAAATTGTTCCTCGCTCGTGTTTGATTTAGAAGAAAGTGATATTTGAAGAAGGCTCCGTTCCCATGGAGATAATAAAAGAGATCCTGACTGGATTGAAAGTCTCCGGGTCACAGGGCGACATTTATCTGTGTTCTCAGAGAAATAAACTGTGACAGTGACAATGTTCGTTGCAGCCCCTCCTCCTGGGTCATCCCTTGATAATGAAAATGGTCATTGCAGAGAAATAACGAGAAAATGTACTCGTGTCATGGACATCGTTGTTGAGCTGCTTCGCCCGCACACTGAGCGACAGACTGCGATGAGGTCACCTCTTAGAAAGGCTGTTGTTGTTGACTTGGATGTTCAGTTTTAAAAGTCAGATTCTAACTTTAACTGAATCTTATCAGCTGAGCGGCAGCGTCGCGACCTTTAAAAACAAACAGCAAGTTTGTTTTTAAAGAAAGTTTATTTTTACAGGAAGCTTTGTATTTTCTTTAATGGTTAATAAGCTGCCCAGCTTTGTGTGTGTGTCTGTGTCTGTGTGTGTGCGTGGTTGCATGTATGTGTGTGTGTGTGTGTCTCTAACTCTCTAATTAGAGGACCTCCCCGGCTCGCTGTGAGAATCATATTATGATAATTTAAGCCCAGACGCATTAAAACATGAAACCAGCCGCTGAAATCAAAGCTGCAGCTCAGCCTGCTAATCCATGCTAATGCTACACACACACACACACACACACACACACACACACACACACACACACACACACACTATGTTGTGCTTCCCTAATAAGGCAGATTTCCTGAATGAGGCCTTTTTAACTCCGGATTATAACGAGGATGAGCCGAGTGTAAACACAAACACACACTACACTCGTCTCTGCATCCTCATGAGCTCCAACCGTGTTCAACAGTTTTATTGTCTTTAAATAAATAAATAACAAACATCAAACACATGTAGACAATTAATAAAAAGACTGAATAATAACGAGATAATTACTGCAGAAACAAAAAATTAATCAGCCAACTGTCTGGAAGTTTGAGAAAGAAATACTCAATCCCTGCTCGTATATTTAAATTCTTCAGGTCATTTTATTTATCTTTCCTAAATGGGAACATCCGTATTTATAGATTTCCGCCCTTTTTTGGTGGATGGGCTTCATCGAGTAGGAAATCAGAAGAGAGAGATGTGTTATTCACTAAATTACTCTCTCTGGTTTTTATTTTCTCATTATCATTCATCATAAACTCTGACATTCTCCGATTGAGTTTTCTGCAAAAAGAAAAACAAAGACAAACGGGTATTCCAACAAAGATAATAAACACACACACACACACACACACACTCACACACACACAGACTCACACACACAGACTCACCTGTGGGTCAGACAGGTAAAGTGTCTCCGCAGGTGTTTCAGTGTCTTCGTCCTCTGAACAAGAATCCAACCCGTCCTGGTCATAATAAACCTCTGCAGCCTGAGGATCCTCTGGGATATCTACACACACACACACACACACACACACACACACACACACACACACACACACACACACACACACACACACACACACACACACACACGTTAATTATGAGAGTCGCTGACATCTCTGTTAGATTTTTGTATAAGGTAAGATGTAGGCCACACCCACCTGTGATGTCCCACTGTACCTGAGTACAGCTGTGCATACCTGCAGCAAAGTAAGGAGTGTGACCACTAGAGGGCGGTAACAGTGAGAAAGTCAAAGTTCATGTCAGATCTCCAGAGTTGCAGACTAAAGTGTGTAAATACTTTAAATGAAAAGGTGAAGCTCTTTAAGCTGCTGAGCTGATCGAGGGCACTCACAGAGACGTGGAGCGGTTAAATAAGGAGGAGAGAAGTCAGAAGTTTAGTTAAAAGACGGAGAAAAGTCTCCCTGAGGTTTCAGTCTGTGAGGGTTTCATCTGTCACCACGAACAGGTGCTCTGCCTCCATTATTATTCCTGCTAACGAGCTCGGAGACTTTTAACGATGAGACGATGTTAAATTCATGTACCCCCTCTCAGGTCTCTTCCTCCCCGGGCAGCCAATCACACGGCTGGGATCAGACAGCGGGGGCGGGGCCAAGGGAGCAGAAGTGACAGGAAGTCTAAGCTGAATAAACTCGAGACAAAACGAGACCAGAGACGCTTCAAGACGAGTTCAGAACAACCAGAGTGACGTTCTGAAATAGAGGGGACCAATTTGGTCGCACATGTTCTGAGGTAGTCGTTAGCTTTCAGAAACCGAGGTAAGCGTCTACATGTATCCAGTATTTTTGAGCCTTTTTGCCTTGATAGGACAGCTGAAGAGAGAAAGGAAATGTTGGGAGGAGAGAGTAGTAGTAGTAAATATTTATTTTGGTCCATGACCACAAAGCATACACGAACAATAACAAAATTTTAAAAAAAAAACAATGGCCGAAAAGGTGTAGGATGAAGCCGAGGCTTATTATGCCTACCCTTCGAACATTCATTTATACAGTATATCAAAACAAGAATAGCGACAAAAAACAAACAAACAAAGTAACCTGATTTCACAAAACAGTTGTCAGTTAACCAAATCAAAACAATAAAAGGAAAAAAATTATATATATATATATATATATATATATATATATAGATATAGATCATGTACATAACTAGATTATATATATAATTATAGCAACAGTATTAGTACTGCTGTTGGTGTCATTAACATAATGATGTTTTATTTTTTTCTATTATCCTGCATTTTAACAGTTTATTGAATTTTCTAATTGAGCTGCACATTTTTAATTTGTTGTCTAACCCGCAATTCACACATACTCCGTGCGCGCCGCGCTCCGTCAGCGCCACGTTTTTGCTCCGTCGGACGGCTCGCACCCATTCACACTGGATCTGTTTCTGCGACGTCAGAGTAACGGAGCGCACCCATGACACATTACAAGAGAACTACAAGATCCCGCGGGATAAAGAGAAAAACATGCAAACAACATGTTGCTTTGTCTTTCTGAGGATGCATTATTGTTAATCCGGTTCCTGTTTTGACGTCATGTTGATAAAGTGATGAAAAATACGATCGTGAGTCCGTATATGATGTTTTATTTTGAAATTGACCGGATGCTCTGTGCATTTCCTTGTCTGACTTCCTGTCCGGGCTGTCATATTCTGTCCAACTTGACGCGAACTTGCAGCGTACTCCGGTGAAAATAGACTCGCTGCGTATTTGAAACGGAGCAGAGCGTAGTGCCGTCGGTGACACGCGCTGGAGACGGACCGCGGCGCGCCCTGTGTGAGCACAATGATTGACTAGAGTGGAGGCTAAGTACAACGTAGTGCGCTGCGCTGACGGACCGCGGCGCGCACGGAGTATGTGTGAATTGGGCTGAAGTTGTTCCATAGGTTAACCCCTTGAACAGATAAGCACCTACTTTTGGTGTTAGTTCTCGCTCTTGAAGTTTTGAATATACATGTTCCCCTTAGTTTAAATTTACTTTCTCTAGCCCTGAACAGTTCCTGGATGCAGTATGGAAGTGCATTATTCTGTGCCTTGTACATTATAACAGCAGTGTTGAGGTCAGCTAGATCTTCTAGTTTTAAAGTGTGTAGTTTGATGAATAGTGGATTTGTTAATTCATAGTAATTGTATGATTCACAATTCTGATGGCTTTCTTTTGAAGTATGAAAATTGGGTTTATGTTTGTTTTATATGTGTTACCCCATACTTCCACGCAGTACATAATGTATGGAACAATGCAGTACAACATATAAAGTGAGTTCTGATTCAAAATATTTTTCATTTTATACAATATAGCAATATTTTTTGATATTTTTGATTTCAAATTCTGTATCTGTGATTTCCAGCTGAGTTTATTATCTATTATGATGCCCAAAAATGTATTTTCATTTACACGTTCAATTTCAACATCATTGATCTTGAGTTTAGCCTGTTTATTAATTTTTCTATTGCCAAAGATAATACATTTTGTTTTGCTTAGGTTCAATGACAGCTTATTAACCACCTCTTTAGAATTGTTAATTCCTTTTCCACTGCATTCAGGAGCTGCTCAATATCTTTTCCAGAGCAGTACAAACTGGTGCCGTTGGCAAACAAAACACACTTTAGTACTTTCGAAACATCACATATATCATTAATGTACATAATAAATAGTTTTGGGCCCAGCACAGAGCCTTGTGGGACCCCATACATGACTTTTTGCAAATCAGAATCAACATTGTTCATATGTACATACTGATTTCTGTCATCTAGATAACTTTTAAGCCATTCATGAGCATTTCCTTTTACACCATATCTTTCCATTTTCTTCAAGAGTAAACCATGGTCAATCGTGTCAAAAGCCTTCTTTAAGTCAATAAAGACCCCCACTGTGTATTCCCTGCTGTCTATTGCAGTAGATATCCCTTCCATCAGCTCCATCACTGAGCAGAAGATGACCCGCAGGAAAGGGCAAGGCTGGATTCAAACCGCTGCAACGAGGACTGTACCCTCTGTATAACTCGACATACCCGCTAGGCTTACAGCGCTCCCAGTATCCTGTTTATTCTGAGATCTGCAGGTAGCATAATAAGTTTTCTAATCATCGGGGTAAGGACTTATCCCGGTTTCTGAAATCTGGATATGCACAAACCGGGACCCTCAGGTCCATGTGGACTGGTATCAGACCTCGGGGAGATCTGGATCCAGTTGAGTTTCACACATGTTCTCACCTGTTCACCGTCTGAGAGGCGACGCTGCTTCACACGGAGACAGAAACATGAACTTTTAATGAACACACGATGAAAAACGTTTTTCACGTTTCCATGGTGACTGCTGGAGGCCAGAACAGACCTTCTCAGAAACATGAAGTAAAATACATCAAATTAAACTTTGTTTTTCTGAACGTGTTTCTGTCTGCTCCGCGTTAAACTGCCCGAGGCGTCAGGAGGGGGAGCTGATATTTTCACACAGAAATGTTTTATTAGTTTATAACTGAATGAAGGTGGGGAAGGGGGGGGAAGTCTCTGTTTAACTTTCAAATGTTCTCTTCTGTTCTTTGTTTTTATATCTTATCTTTCAAACCAAGAAGAATAAACAATAGAAAATTAGGTGCCTGACCCACAAATTCCACAAAGTCACAGGAGAACTACAAGATCACAAGAGAACTACAAGATCACAAGAGAACTACAAGATCACAAGAGAACTACAAGATCACATGAGAACTACAAGATCACAAGAGAACTACAAGATCACAGGAGAACTACAAGATCACAAGAGAACTACAAGATCACAGGAGAACTACAAGATGACAGGAGAACTACAAGATCACAAGAGAACTACGAGATCACAAGAGAACTACGAGATCACAAGAGAACTACGAGATCACAAGAGAACTACGAGATCACAGGAGAACTACGAGATCACAAGAGAACTACGAGATCACAAGAGAACTACAAGATCACAAGAGAACTACGAGATCACAGGAGAACTACGAGATCACAAGAGAACTACAAGATCACAGAGAACTACAAGATCACAAGAGAACTACAAGATCACAGGAGAACTACAAGATCACAAGAGAACTACGAGATCACAAGAGAACTACGAGATCACAAGAGAACTACGAGATCACAAGAGAACTACGAGATCACAGGAGAACTACGAGATCACAAGAGAACTACGAGATCACAAGAGAACTACAAGATCACAGAGAACTACGAGATCACAAGAGAACTACAAGATCACAGAGAACTACAAGATCACAAGAGAACTACAAGATCACAAGAGAATTACAAGATCACAGGAGAACTACAAGATCATCCGACTTTTTTGTGGGTTTAGATTGTGGGTTAGACTTTAGTTGACAAACAGGAAACGACATCATTAGAACTTCCTCTACTTCTTTTTTTTGACAGCTTTGGTATTTCTGGAAACCATCAATCATTAAAATTACAAAGTCGCATCGTTTTAAATGACGTGGTATCTAAAATATGGAAGTATCGAACAAACTGACGACCGGCCAGCGTTCATCATACATTCATTGATTCATGGATTCATGGCGGTCTCGTGCGCAGGAGTCATCCTGCAGAAAACACACACACGCTAACTAGATCATTAGCTGCTAATGAATTAGCCACAGGTGCAGATAATTAGCTTAGCATTCACAGCCCCCTCCTCCCTCTCTGGCTCCTCCCACTTGTCTAAATATGGTCACTTCAGGCTCCAACATAACAACCTGACGCCTCCTCTCCATAGATCGCTCCAACACACTCGAGTCTCTGCTGTCCAACAAACACTCACACCGACAGGTCGTATCGACTGAAGCTCAAACTAAACTACAGTTCTGTGACGATAAGAGCAGAAATATGAAAGTCCTCTCTCTCTCTCTCTCTCTGCTGTGAGCCGTGCGTCAGAGCTGACACTCATTTAATGAGATTTATGGCTTCTGGCCTCTTTAATACCCACAGCTCCTCCACATAAACACATGATTAAGTTTCTCAAACACTGAAATCTCCAGAGAGCGTTTGTGCTTCAGCCCGGACGTTAATCTCATTAGTGTGACTCTGAGCGAGAGAGAGAGAGAGAGAGAGAGAGAGAGAGAGAGAGAGAGAGAGAGAGAGAGAGAGAGAGAGAGAACATGGCAGATAACTTTATTACAAACACAGACCACACCTGCACACGGACGAGTGCCAATTACACACAATGAAATCAGCCGGGTGACATGCATCAGCTGTGATTAAGCGTCTACAGAGCGGCTGTGACCATGATGAGTTTATTCAACAGTTTGACTCTTCAGGCTTCAACACAAAGACCATGGAGTCATTAGGGAGCAGACGTTATTGGAAGAAGCATAAAATCCTTGTTTAGGTGAAGATGAACGTCAGAACTAATTAAAGTTTATGATGAGAGAGTCAAGAGACAGAGACAAGAACACTTCTGAGAGGAAGTGTAAGAAAGACGAGCATCGAGGTATAACATGTTTTTGGGAGCGATCAGTTCCCAAAAATGAACAAAAGTAAAGCAAAGATTCTCCTGCTGCATCAGTCAGAGGAGAATAAGACCCTCAGTGTGTCTTTGAGAAGTTTAAAGTTTGCCCCCTTTTCAAGCTTAACCATTAAGCCCCGCCGCCCCCACTGGCCTGCACTCACACTGCTCCAGAACTAACCGGGCCTGAGCACGACGAGAAAGTTTTTCTCACCGTGCTGCTGCTCGGCCTGCGACGTCTCTCCTGCACCCTGTGTCCTGATTGGCTGTGAGCCTCCTGGTGTTTGGTGATCCTGGATGCTGATTGGCTGACAGACTCCCTGCTCTCTGCTCCCCTGTCGTTTGGGAGGGAAAAGGAGCTAATTAGCTTCTTTTTTTCCAGCAGAGTGGCGTTCAGAGGAAACCTTCAGCAACTCGCTCGGAGACACAGGCGGTTATAATTAACCTGTGAGAGGATTATTTCTTCAGGAAGCCTCCAAGAGCTGCTCGCATAAAGCCTGTGGGGGGAATTAAATATGACTGTATTTACATTTCTTACATTTAAAACATCCAGGCTGACTTTTTCAAAATGGCGGCTCCTCAGCTCCCTCCTGCGGGTGTGGATCTCCTCGTATTTCTCCTCCGCCAGCTTCCTGAAGAGACAGAAACCAAAGCAGTCAAACTCACGCCAGAACACTCGTTCTTCTAAAAATCCAGATTCTTACTTTATTAAAGTATATATTTATATTCTATATAATCCACTTCACCACATGTTCCTCTAACTCTAACATGTGTCTCTAGTCCGTCTACAAACCCCCCAATGATGAGAAAAGTCCATCCTCTCCGTCTTCTGCCTGCTCCACTTTTCAGAAAATGTGTGCTCAAACAGGCCGTTTGGAGATTTTCCCTTCATGACATCACAAAGGGCAGTAGCCCCTCCCCCAGGTGGGTGACACTCCCACAGCTAGGTGTTTGTTCTGCCCTCTGAGTCTGCCTTCTCACCGTAAACAATAGGACATGGAGAGAGAAAGACCAAGTACACCAAAGCCCTTCCAGAGAGGGGGCGTGGTCAGACACAGCTCATTTACATATTTAAAGGTACAGACACAGAAACAGCCTGTTCTGAGCAGGGCTGAAATAGAGGGGTTTATAGACATGATCAAATACAGGATCAGAGTGGATTTAGAACAAGAAACTTCACACACATGTTTTGAGGAGCTCTGAGACTTATTTAAACTGAAGAAGAGGAGGAGGAGATGTCACCTTTAATCCCAGATGAAGCTAAATTATTGACTTTATCATATTGATACCATGACGGGTTGAAAACAGAAGGAAAGATAAAAATACAGATTGTTTCTCCGCTGACTTTGTCCCTCTGAAGTTTCAGAGAACACGCAGAAGAAAAACTTTTCTGTACTTGGCGCTGAAGTTGAGAAGCAGATTGCCTGAAAACTGGAAATAATCAGCAGCTTGTGAGGTTTTCAAAGTGGCTCTGAAGATTTGGCTGGGAGGTTTATGTCACAGTCTGCCTGATAATGAAAAAGTTCTTTATCACCAGGTGCCTTTCTTCATTGTTTGTGCTCTGTGATGTGGAAGCTTTACTTTAAATCTACAGATGTGTACGTCGTCCTCTGAGAGGCCGGTGAAGTATTATCATTACATCAGTGAATCTGTTTAAAGATCTACTTTGAAATATTTTTTACTTCCTGACTCATTTTGTGTGAATTCTTCTGCAACAGATCCGCCATCCTGCACCCAACTTCCCCGGAGACTCCATGAAGAAAGTTTTTAAGCACGTTACTCTCTTTGTTCTCTTAACGCCCCGACACACCGAGGAGAGCGTCGGCCGTCGGTTCTAGTTGGATCCTCAGTGAGCGGTGGTCGCCCTAGTTTTTGCGGTGTGTCCGGCTCCGTCGCTACCCGTCTGCCCCAGTTGGCCTTTTTTCAGTCAGCGCTGTCGGTGAGAGGACTCTCTCTGATTGGCTGTTGGGAGGTTTCATTTCTCTCCAGCTCTCGACAGGTTCAGGAAAGCCCCTCGAGCATGTCACTGCGTCTCAATCTGTTCTGAATAATATCTGCAGGTACACTCTGCTCCTCGCTCGCTCACTCTCTCTCTCTCTCTCTCTTCCTCTCAGCCATTGTATCAAACAGTACAGAGACGGGCTAACTGGCTGCTTTGTAGCTGAAGGCTGCTGTGTGAATTACCATAAAGACGTACGACCTTCTCACCAGACGACCTCGACCCGCTGACAAAGTTACATAGTGCTGAGGCGATCGGGGCGCTCTGTGGACATGAGAGAGACGCCATTCTCCCTGTTGGAGGTTATTGTTCTATTAGATCGACTTTGAAACGACTGAATTGACGTCTCCTTCTCCATCTTCAGATCCGTCTTTAAGACATGGAGCTGCGTTAGCATCCTTCATGTTTGTCTGAAGTCTTCAGATCTTTATTTTCTTCGTTACCTGTGCAGCGTCTGTGAGAGCAGCTGTTGTTGGATGTAAACATGTAGAAACAGAGCGGCCTCTACCATCAGTGTGTGAATGTGTAGGAGTAACCTGAGGTGTGAGTCGTCAGAAGACTAGAAAATAAATAAACAATTGTGTGTGTGTGTGTGTGTGTGTGTGTGTGTGTGTGTGTGTGTGTGTGTCTGTGTCTGAAGAAAAAGAAGTATAATTAGAAGTTTGGTGAATAATAATTTGAGGAGGAGTATGGCGATGAAAAGGAGGAAAGTGAGAGAGACAAAGGGCGAGAGAGAGAGAGAGACATAGAGAGAGAGAGAGGGTGAGAGAGAGAGACAAAGAGAGAGAGAGAGAGGCGAGAGAGAATAGAGAGAAGAGAGAGAGAGAGAGAGAGATAGAGAGAGAGAGAGAGGGCGAGAGAGATAGAGAGAGAGAGAGAGAGAACAGAGAGAGAGAGAGAGAGACAGAGAGAGAGAGAGAGAGGGCGAGAGAGATAGAGAGATAGAGAGAGAGACAGAGAGAGAGACGAGAGAGAGAGAGAGACAAAGAGAGAGAGAGAGGGGCGAGAGAGATAGAGAGACAGAGAGAGAGACAGAGAGAGAGAGAGACAGAGAGAGAGAGAGAGAGAGGGCGAGAGAGAGAGAGAGAGAGATAGAGAGAGAGAGAGAGAGACAGAGAGAGAGAGAGAGAGAGAGAGCGAGAGACAGAGAGAGAGAGGGAGAGAGAGCGAGCAGAGGAGAGAGAGAGAGAGGGCGAGAGAGATAGAGAGACAGAGAGAGAGACAGAGAGAGACAGAGAGAGAGAGAGACAGAGAGAGAGAAGAGAGAGGACAGAGAGAGAGAGAGAGACAAGAGAGAGAGAGAGGGCGAGAGACAGAGAGAGAGAGAGAGAGAGGGCGAGAGAGACAGAGCAGAGAGAGAGAGAGCGGGCGAGAGACAGAGAGAGAGAGACAGAGAGGAGAGAGAGAGAGACAGAGAGAGAATAGAGAGAGAGAGAGAGAAGAGAGAGACAAGAGAGAGAGAGAGGGCGAGAGACAGAGAGAGACAGAGAGAGAGAGAGAGAAGAGAGAGGCGAGAGAGAGAGAGAGACAGAGAGACAGAGAGAGAGAGAGAGACAAAGAGAGAGAGAGAGGGCGAGAGAGACAGAGAGCAGAGAGAGAGAGAGAGAGAGAGAGAGGCGAGAGACAGAGAGAGAGAGACAGAGAGAGAGAGAGAGAGAGAGAGAGAGAGAGAGAGAGAGAGAGAGAGAGAGACAGAGAGAGAGAGAGAGAGAGAGAGGGCGAGAGAGAGAGAGAGACAGAGAGACAGAGAGAGAGAGAGAGAGAGACAAAGAGAGAGAGAGAGACAGCGAGAGAGAAAGAGAGAGAGAGAGAGCGACAGAGAGAGAGAGACAGAGAGAGGGCGAGAGACGGGGAAACAAAGAGGAGGAGTCGAGAGGAGCAGCAGGAGGTGATGAAGAAGAGGAGAGGCAGACGCTCCTCCTGCTGTTAGAGAATCTGAAGGACGTGAGAGTGAACACCTTCATCAGATGATTTCATTCTCTTAAATCACAGGAAGCAGAGGTCGTGGAAACACCTGTACCTGTTCCACTGTGAAGTAATGAAACACTGAGACAGCACTAATCGACCCGCTGATCAGTCCCCGAGTGACGACCTTCAAGTGACCACGAGCTAACAACCACACACTTTATTAAAGATGCTATGCTAGTATTACACATTATATATTAGCCTGTATGATCTCAGTCTGTCTTTATTGGAGAGACAGGACAGTGAGCGAGGAATGACATGAAAGGAGCATCAGGTAAGACACTGAACCCGGGTCACACGGGGCTCGTGCACCAACCACTGCGTCTGTGGTTGCAACGTTCCTCAGATCAGGCCACGCCCCCCTTGTCTCGTCTCTTGTGTAGCCAGCGTTTGTTGTAACATTGAACTAAGAACTCGTGGTTTTCTGTTCTTGTTATCCTGTAGAGGTTTAAGATTGTCAGCTTTCTGTTTTCTTTTCATACTTAAATTATCAGTTTTATTGTTTTACATAAAACTTGACATTTTAAATGTAAGTTTCTAAGTTCCCGGGAGAAGAGGGGTCAGAGTCTGGATGTTTCTTTTCTAAGTTTTGCAGAGACTGAACATTTTGAAAATGTGTCAAATTGATTAAACAATCAATAAAAATGTTCCTGAGAATCGAGGCGCTGATGGCCTAGCGTCAGGTCACGACCCAAGCACAGAGGCTGTAGTCCTCCAAGCGGTCGGCCCGGGTTCAAGTCCGCCCTGCGGCTCCTCTCCTGCACGTCATTCCTCTCTCTCCTCTCTCTGATTTCCTACTCCAGCATCGCTAAAATACCTCTTCAAGGCCGAGACACCTCCCTCCTCCTCCAGGCCAGCAGCAGCATTCAGAAGGTGAGGGTCAAGCCAGGCTCGCCCCTCCAAGGCTGGACGCTGGTCAGCTAGGCAGAGGGCGCCGCCTTGACATCATACAGAACGCCATCTCTCACCTGAGTGTCCCACAGAGTCCTAACCGACAATCTCTATGAAACACCTCCACTGTCCGAGTAAATAAATCTTTTAACACGTCTTAAGATAATAATATCTACAGGTCATTGATAACCTGAGACGTCTGAGGCTGCATGCAGAGAGGAGCTACAAGACGCTGATGATGTGCAGAGAAACCACACGGAGCGTCATTAGAGAGAGAGAGAGAGAGAGAGGGGGCGAGCGAGCAGCATGCTTTAAAGACGATAAGAATGTAAACCTGAAGCTGCAGAAGGAAACGCTAAAACTAAATGTGCATAAAACAAAAACTTTGAAGCATTTTAATCGTTAGTAGAAAAACTTTTTCTTTCTGTTCTAATGTGAAGTCACAAACCGAAGCTCTGTTTCCCCTCAGGGACGATAAAGTTAGGAAAGGAAAGAAGAAGAAGATGAGGGGAGGAAGAAGAGACTAGAAACAGGAGAGAGAGGAAGAGGAAAGGAAGGACACAAGAAGAGGAAAGGAAGGACAGGAGAGGAGGAAAAAAAAGAAGGACACAAGGAGAGGAGGAGGACAAGGAAGGGCACAAGAAGAGGAAAGGAAGGAAAGAAGAGGAAAGGAAGGACAGGAGAGGAGAGGAGAGGAGGGAAAAAAGGAAGAACACAAGGAGAGGAGCAGGACAAGGAAGGACAGAAGAAGAGCAGGAAAAGGAAGGATACAAGAAAAGGAAAGGAAGGACAGGGGAGGAGGACAAGGAAAGACAGGAGAGGAGAGGAGGAAAAAAAGGAAGGACACAAGGAGAGGAGGAAAAGG